TGTGCCTGTGATCACTTTCATCTCTCACTTCACTCCATGAATTTATGGCTAGTTCTGTGGGTGAAATTTATGTAACATGTTGATAACACACAGTGGGGTGGGAAAAAAGATTTTCACATATGTCCCTAATAGACCAGAGCACAGTTCAGTCAGAAGATTAGCATTTCATATGAATCCAGAGACCAGCTCAATAGCTTTATTTATGAGCCTGGATGTCAGAGTGTCATATTTCTATCCTGCAGGGGTTGGCGAAACACTTTCTAGGAATTGCATTGAATCATTGTAGATGAGGTAACACTTCATGTGACAGTGATCCCTGGAATGCCGTGAAAGTCTTCAACCAGGATGATATATAATCAGGTGAAAGTATCTGAAAGTGGAATTCAAGTGCATCCTTCACAGGGTCCATCACTTATCGTGTGGCATTTATAGGGATCAGGGCAATTTTAGAGTCTTGTAGCTGACTTGTTCCAGGGATAAAGACAAAAAAAATAAACTTTAAAAACTCACTCTTCACAACCACTCAACACAACATAGACTCCATAGAACGTTGGCTGCTCCCACAAAAGTGAATCCAAACTTTCAGTTGCTCTTATCACACAGTTTGGTATTGACTTTTAAATAATTAGTTATTTGAGCTTTTATCTATAAAAACTGGGTGGAGCTTCATCACTTACATCTTAGATTGGCTCAGAATTATCTGTAGGAACTCGCTTCCGCAGCTCCATCCCCCAATCAATAGTGCACAGACTCTGAAAGATGGCAGTGTTTGTTATCGGAATATTTTGGCTTCATTTCTGGATAGTGGGAGGAAGTGGAGACATGTCTATCTTTATGGACAGCCTATGGTACACAGAGACAGGAGAGAGACAGGGAACAGTGATGTAACCATCATGTTTCAGCTCTGTCGGACTGGTTGTTATAATGAGAATAATAAGTATATTATAGATGTAAAGATGTTATTAACGATAGCAGCCCCAGTTTATATAATGGACACTTTGGCACGCGGAATGGAGAAGATTGGACTGGAACTGCCAGCCTTCGGGTAAGGGGGTCGACCCGATCTACTCCCTGATCAGCCACCCCAAAATAAATAACAGAAAATATGAGAAATATCATATGAAATACATTATTCTTAACATTAATTAAGTAATATGAAAATCCTCTCTTAACATGAAGAATATTCAAGGAAATGGGTTTACCGTGGGGCTTTTAAATGTGTTCTGTTGTCTGATTTATGTGTTAATCTCTTCTGACAATCATGTAACTTTTAATCCAAGATATGAATTAAATTTGGTTCTGTTGGTGTGAAACAAATGTAGTGGGATTAGATTCCCCGCGTGTGCCTCTCCAGTAGCCCACATTTATACTGTATAAGGTAAATGCAAGGATCATTATCTGTAAGGATTTATGTCACACAACTGTAGGAGACTGCACAGTTCAAGTTTCATATAACTCACATACATTCTGCTCTGAAGCTTGACAGTTTGTTTTGACTGTGACAAAGGGAGGTAGTTACAGTCAGTGCTGTGTAAAAATGTGCAGGTTTTTTCCACAAGGTTTGTGAATCACATAATACATTTTTGACTGAGTGGGACTTTAGCACTGAGGGCCTCTACATACTAAATAAAGCAGGGGCTCAGGTTGTTGAAGTGCAGTGTGGTTAAAAACACAGCAGATTAAAAAAGTGTAACAGAGCAGCTAAAAGTCTCTCTTATGATACATGTATTTGAATAATCGTGCAAGAAACAACCAGCAACAGGTTCCCTTGTGTGATTCTGCTGCAGAAATTACTTTTAACCAGTTTAAATATTTAAAATGCATTCCACTTGGCAAGTTGGTCGGGGATAGGACCTGCTCTATTGATTTTCTTCATATGCAGCGTTCCTCTACAGCTTCCATATGAATAGCTACACCACAAAATAAATATAGTTAAGTTATAATAATTGTATCATTTTGTTTATGTAAACTTCACCTGTGCTTAAAGGTTAAAGGTCTTATAACTGTCAACTGTCAACAATAATAGCATCATAATGTCAATTAATAAAATTCCCCTCTGCTTTAAAGATAAAAACGTTTTATATGTGAACAATGAAGCCCATATTGAATATTTAATCCTGAATGCAGTGCGGCTGGAGCATCTCTCTGATTGCATTTCTAGTTTTCATTTGTAAATATGAAAATAAAAATCATTGAAGCTTCAACAATGACGGTTGAAATACTTGGTCTTCTAATCCACAACAACTGAGCTATAGACTTTTGTGTTGGATCTAATCTAATTAAGCTCTGTTGGTTTCAAATGTGAACACTTGAACTTAGCTTTACCTCACGACAGCCTCTTCACTTTCTCCTGCTTTAAAAGAGAATCCCACAGTGCCAGCACCTTGAGGCCACGTCTGCTTCAAACTGCCTTAGTGCCATTAAAATCTTCTCCAATTATAATGATTTTTTTTTGATATATGTATTTCCCCTGTGCTCTAAATACAGTATCATCCAGACTGTCAGTTTGTTAGACACCAAATGTGGACGTATGGCCCCGACTCGGCTGTATACTATCATGCTTATGGAGCTGGAAAAATTTGATTTCCCTGCCTCTTTTGTACATCACACTCACAAATAACTGCATGGCTGGTGAACTATGAGGTCCTGAAAAGCAATAATGTTTCATATATTGTCTCTGTGATGGATACTGTCACATCCATATCACAGAGATATTTGAAAGCTACATCACCATGTAATAAAAACACAATGAGAATTCTACACCATGCATCTCTGTGGGTTGTTTTGTCGCTTAGATAAGATAAGTGTGTCTTTTCAATATGTTTTCATTTGTTTGTTTGTTTGCAGGATTGAACTAAAACTAGCGGATGTATTACCTCGAAACTTGGTGGAAGGACTCAGAGTGGGTCAGGCAAGAATCCATGTAATTTTGGTGGATCTGCTCTTTAAAATAACATGCCAATACACAACTCCACTGTAAATCTGACTTAAAGCTCTATACCATCAAGTATGTAAAGAATAGTTCATCTGGTTGGCTTCACACTTGGTTTGTTTACTTTTAGAGGTCCAGGGAGGTGCAGTGTTGTATTTGGGGAAGTTTGGACTCATGATACATTCAATATTAATACAAATTGAACATGTCCTCTCTGTCCTCGGACAAGATACAGCAGTGGTTGGCAACTGGCAGGCTGCAGCCAATAATATCGGTGTCATCATATCATTTTCATAATCTGATTATTTCACCATATCAGCCCGACACAGAAATTGATCTCTGTCAACATTCATAGAATCACTTCCTCTTTGGCAATTTGTCTACAAAGAAAAAGCACTAATTTAGTTTTGATGCTGCAGTGCATTATATCGAGCTGAAAAGAGCATTTATTTTGAAAAGTTGTGACTTTGGCTGCGGTTGATTGTATTTATTGCTTAACAGACATCTGGTATAGTCGACATTTGTATGAAAAAATAACAACTGTTAAGTCAATCATTCTAACTCATTTCATAAAAACCTTGACTAGAAAATCTTCACTGCAGATAAACCAGGTAGGATGAACCCAGCTGTTTTAACTTCAGTCTGTACCGTAGACTGTTTATCAGCACACAGTGTCCATCACACAAACGATAAAAAATGATATCGTAAAACTGTGTGAGGAGGACTCACTGATGACAAGGATGATTCTGAAGTAACTCCTGATCATTACAAGTGATGCTCCTGCAAAGATATCCACCTTACCCTGCAGCTCTATTTACCTTTTATAGGCAATTATACCCCATTCAGTTTTTCTGGCCCCATAATTTTCTGTGACAGCTAACTCAAATATGATCTGTATGGTTTAACACAAAATGTTTGGTGTTAAGCATCTTAACAGGTGAAATTAACATTTGACAGCTGGTTAGAGACATAGCTCCAATGGTACTGACATCATGTCTGCTGGATTATGAATGTGTAAAAGTGTTGGCTGACCCACTTACAACAACCAGGAGAAAACCCTTCCCAAGATCATTTTAAATTGAATCATTTTGCTTATTTACAATGATACTGGATCCACGCGTGCGGGGCACGAGGCTTGTGCAGGTAACGTCTGCTCTCCGCTCTCCCGTTTGCTTGCCTGTGTTTGGCTACAGTGCTTTTAGTTTACACTAGATTCCCATTAGTGTCAGAGATGCTGGGTGATGTCCAGTTACTGTGTGAGAGAGATAAACAGAGAGAGGGGAGGTCAGCGTCTTTCCTCTCTGTGGACAGTGCAGGTGGTATTTGCTGGTGTGTTATGATTATTTTAATATATGTGATTTTGTTGAAGTGTGTGTTATGTGCTCATAATGGCTGTTTGTACATTAGTGTGCCCATTTGCTCCCGTGTGGCCATTTTCCTGCACAACAAAGTTAGTCCAGTTATGTAGCCGGCTCTCCCCGGGCCTTATCTTGATTGGTTGGGGGAGGACGGGGTGGGAGAGGCGATCTGTCGTTGACGATCCACATGCGCTCTCAGTTGCACTGTGTCTATAGGGAGCGCACACACCTCCTTCACAGCCTCAAAGGTCCTAATGGACCGGAGGACTGGTACTGCAGACGACTGGTGGACTTCTTCAACTAGGACAACCCCTTGAAATCAAATCTGTCATTAGGAAGCAACTTTTTTGTCAAATCTGAGTTAAACTGACTGAACCCTTAAGTAGTTCGGAATCTTGGGAGATTGTTGAGAACGATCAAGAGGATTTTCAGGAGCCACAAGGAAAATTGGGTAAACTGAAGGTTCCCAGCTACATCAGGCATCACAAGCTGGAGAAGAACTTCTTACGGTCTGGAGAATCATCCATTCAATTCTGACGAAATCTTTCTGGAGCAGACTGAGAAGAGGTCTAGTTCAAGTTATCTAAACCTGTCATAGCGCGTGGATGAAAGGAGTTAAAGAGGGGATGAGGCCTGGTGATACCATGCAGGGGTGAGGAATGAGGGAGGAAACCAGCTGAGAATTACTTCCAATGTAAACACTTCACACCATGCCAACCCTGCTGCCAAGCTGGCACAAGAGGACCTGGACCACCCTCCTGCTCGTACTCCACCTTGTTATCTTCAGCCACCAGGTAAATGAATACTTTACACAAATGTGAGACCTTTTATTTCACCAGCATTTAGTCTGAACATTACGTAGCATTGGATGTTAAAGCTGGATGAATTCTAAAATTCCTTAAATCTTTGGGAATTTTTATTTTGAATATTGTGAAGAAAAACGTTTTTTATTTCATTTGTTGTATGAGGCACGTCTTAATGCAGAATTTCTCATGAAAGACGGCAAAAAAAAATGCTGTTATTGACTTTGGAGAAATAAAAAATACTTTTTAAAATCTTAAATGTGTATAGAGGTTGGTGTACAGCCGGTCCCCCAGCTCATATGCCTTTTCTGCAGTCTCTACTTCTGATATTGCTGCCTAAAAATACCAGTTTAGTGACATGTTTCGAAAAACAACTTGGTATCTGCTTTGGAAATCAAATGAGTAGTTATTTCTTCTCAGTGGATAAGCAAAAAAAAGCAGAGAAACACTTAAAATATTAAATGAAAATATGTTCAGAGAGCCCCTAGTAGTTTTTTGTGCAAATTCACTTTAATACATGCAAATATTCAGGAAGTTAAGATCCTGCTGCTGGATATGAGGCAGGTTTAGTCCCTCGGGAGACAACAAAGAGAGAAGGTTGACAGTGACTCTTCACCGGTGATACCGCTCTGGACGGGGTCGGGCTCGGCTGAATTGAAACGTCGTCTGTTGGACAGCTCACATGGAAAATCTGTGCGACCCTGGTGGCAGGCGAACTGTGAGGCTGACGAAACAACAAATACTGTAGAGGTTGCAGACTTCAGCTGCTTTCTCACCGAGGCATGAAGATCAGAAATCTACTGTCCTAAGCCCGGAAAGATAAATGGGCGAAGTGGCAGCTGTGGTCTGCAGCTTCCTTCTCAAATTAAATGCTAATTTGTCTCACTAATGACAGTAAATTAGAGTAAAATCATAATTTATAACCGAGCACTAATAGGATGGCTGTCAAATACAATAACCTCGAGTTCAGGCCAGAAACATGCATAATGTTTATGTGAGTAAACAGAGAGTATTTGCATCGCTGCAGGCACGTAACATGCAAAAAGCCTGGCAGATAAATGGCCTGCATCAATTACAGATTACACACAGGTGATCGTGTTTCCACAGTAACACTATAGGGTCCTTATTAAATACTACCACCAAGTGGGTAAATACAAACACTGCAGCATCCACACACTGCACATCCCTTCAGAGGCTGCACATACAAATGTGCTGCTGAGCAAACACGCTGTAACACAGTGTGACTAAATCAATTTACTTTTTTATATCACTGACTTAATTTTATGCAGATAAGATGGTCCCTCTTGATATATATATATATATATATATATATATATATATATATATATATATATATATATATATATATATATATATATATATATATATATACTGTTGATATGGCCCATGTACCCTGACCGCAAATGCTAAACCAAAAGGAGACGATCTACAGACGATCCTTTATTATCCTTTATTTGTCCCGCCCTTCCAGCTGTTGCTTAGCAACAGAGCTGCATTGTTATCGCCCGTTGTTTGTTTCGTAGCTGCTCGGTTGAGCTGATGGTTGATATACAATGTTTGGAAGTCTTGTTGCTTGCTGGCATCTTTACCTCTTTGAAAATGGTTTGTCACTGAAGTGCAATGAATCGTGGGATAGGCTGGCCCGAGAAGGATCTCTAAATTCAACTCAAAATTTCAAGAAGACTTAAGGCACTAAAACTTTTTTCTTTTAACAATGTTCTAAGTTTTAAAGAAATAAATAACCTATAGCTGTGCCAACTAATTATAATAATCATATTACTATATTGTTATTTTGAGCTATAAATACTGAGAGCCCTATTGTCACGGCCCACCACGGTCCAGGGGGCTTAACCAATATATTCTAGATATGTAAACATGACATTTTTCTCTATATTTTAAATTTCTTATTTACTTGATATTTAATGTTTGTGCATGTGTTTTTAATGTGAAAACAGCTTAATATGTTTTACAGTTAAGAGCAAAAAATGTATTTTAGATAGATAGACTGACTGATTGATTGATTGATTGATTGATTGATTGATTGATTGATTGATTTTGTATTTACTAAATATTCAACATCATAACTCCTTCTTTTGGAATCCACATGGAAGGTGACAGGCTCGGTGCTTGAAAGTCTGATAGCTAAACGGACTGAATACTGGGAGAACTGCAATAGAACTCTGGTGCACTCACTCCCCAAAACAGGTGAGCTATTATTATCTTTTATTTAAGTCTGTCTAGCTCTACCTGTTCCAACCTTCATGAGATCCTCTCACTTTTCTTTTCATTTCAGGAAACTACTGTAAAGGGACGTTTGACACATTTGTGTGTTGGCCTCATTCATCTCCAGGGAATGTGTCAGTCCCCTGTCCTTCTTACCTGCCATGGATCAGTGAGGGTAATGGTAGCAGCTAATGAATTAGGTCACGAATTCAAGATTTCACTGTTGCATTGACCTTATTACATGAATGGCTCTTTGTGCTCCTCAGCCTTCCTTTGTCACTGCATTCATTTGAGTACGTCACAAGACAGACTGCAGCAGTGGCTATAGTCACATGAAGAGTTTAAGTCTTGTTAAATGTTTAATTACACACTCAGGTTTTCTGGCACATTATCTGTCGATGTCATTTTGATCCAGATTAAAAAAAATTCCAAGAAATTTAGTTCAGCTCCCTGACGTTTCATCTTGTGACACCACAAGTTTGACTTATGAGTGGCTTACTTTGAAATTTGCAACTTTCATATTCCCCTCTCATGAACTGTGGTGAAACTGTATATCAGGAGTTCAACATTTTAATTTGTGCAACACGTTATGGTCAAATATCAGCCTCAGCGGTGGTTTGTGTTCAAGGTGACAAATGTTAGCATGCTAAGAAACTAAGATGATGATGAGGCAACAAACTGCTGAACTTTATTGATGCCACTTACCTATTATCATCTTTTGTATAATATGCACTTCAATAAAGTTGCATCTTACCTGAAACTATTTCAGTTTGGGGTTTTAAAACCGGTGGAATTACTTTGGAGGTAATGAAGCGTAAACACCATAATCAGAATAATGTTTTATTCTGAATAAAGTCAATAGTCGGAATATTAATAATAATAACTTTATTTGTATAGCACTTACCTAATCAAGGCTACAAAGTGCTTAACAAAATCCATGGAAAACAACAAATGAACTAAAATTCAATTCACTTAATTTTAAGAGCCTGTCTATCTCCTGAGCTACAGCCAATTTTGGTTTTAACATTATGATTTAAAAAATAAACTAGCACAAGTTAAAATGATTTCCTCCCTAGTCTGTCAGCTTATCCCCTGCAAATGCATACCAATGCTTCTTTCAATTACCTGCAGATGACTCCAGGAGGACACACAGAGAGTGTTTAGAAAATGGGAAATGGCGACAGAGGGAGAATTCCTCTGAACCCTGGAGAGATGACGCACAATGTCAGGAGGACCAGTACTTTAAGGACAAGGTGAGGAGGAAGGTGTGGAATACTTCAGTTCTCTCTAAAGCCCATTTTCACTGGTCCAAAGACCCACCAACATCTGGCTTTTGTCTACAATGGGACTGGATACAATCTGCATTCACTCCCGCGTCAAATGACCTGACACAGGTTTTTATCGCCTCAGAATTTGATCATCAGTAATAAAAACGAGACAACATTCGTGAACACGCTTTTCTTCATCTAAATGCTGATGCTGCACCTTTGCTGGTGCAACGTTGCGATGCACATTTAACTTCTAGGCGTTGTGCACAAATAACCGTGAAGGTTTGTGTACTTATAGTTTTTTTTACATGTTGGGAACAACATGCTACAGTGTTTTTCTACGTACTGTGCAACATGCAACACTGGCAAGACAGTGAGAGGTGAGAGCTTCTCAGTTTCCAGGGCATTTGTGTTGTCCACCATGATTAACTGGGGGAAAAAAGAAAAGGCATACTCAAACGCCATTTTTAGAGGCTATACTCTCATAAATTTTGATGTAAAAGAGGAATATGTTTTGGAATTGGAAGCCAAGACATGAGGTTTGCAGTCCACCACTAAGGAGTAATAGATTTGTAATATCCATTCTACAATGGGGTATTTTCTAGACATCTGTCCCATAAGGTCTGAAGAGATGTTCTGATACCTGCTTTCATTTCAATGTGTTTGCACATGTGTGTGTCCAGGAGGATGAAATGCTTCGCCAGACAGCCCTCAGGCTCATCTCTGTTATTGGCTATTCCCTGTCCCTGACCTCCCTCACCCTGGCCACTCTCCTGATGGGCATGCTCAGGTCAGTAGTCAACTGGTGGTGAAAGCGTTTCCTTATACAAATACAAGCTCATTGTCATAGCTTTTTAAGGTAACGGCTAAGATCTGGAACAACTGAACAAGTCAAGTCGGGGCAAGAAACTCAAGCAGTAGGATGATTATACATTTATGATGGAAAGTTTGTGTCACTTGTGAAGCTGCAGCTTCATTCTTATAGTCAATCACTGAGGTATGAGACAGTATACTAGCTTTAAAAACACAGTGTCTGAGGAGCAGCACAGGAAGCACAGAGGGATGGTTACAAATCAATGGAGATCAATAATAATAAATGACTTTTTAAAGCCTAAGAGTCATTTCCACGTAGATGGATATAGAGTATCTCGATCATTTGTCTTTCCGCTTCATGTCATGACACATGGCCTTAGTAATGCTTTTAAAGTTGACCAGGATCAATTTGTTTCCTCCAACTCTTCCTGTATCTGCTTTAACAGGAAGCTCCACTGCACCAGGAACTACATCCACATGAATCTGTTTGTGTCGTTCATCCTGAGAGCCGTAGCTGTCATTTCCAAGGAAATCGTATTATACATCATGTATTCCAACCTGCCCAAGGACGACCCCGGTTGGAAGTCCTACTCAAGCTCTCCAGTAAAAAAAATCTCTACTTATTATTAGTAGATACTTGAGAACAGTGCTTTAGTAATAGTCGTAGTATTATTATAAATACTGCCTATGAATTTCAAGCAGTTTGAATCACCTGAATGATTTGCAGGACTGATTTATCCTTATGTGTTCCTCAACAGACAGCATTGATGTGCAAATTCTCCAAAGTGTGCATGGAATACTTTGTGGCCTGTAACTACTTCTGGCTTCTGGTGGAGGCCATCTTCCTCCACACACTCCTCTTCACCGCCGTGCTGACTAAGAGACGACTGCTGAAGAAGTACATGCTGCTGGGATGGGGTACGCTGTGAATGGATATTGATATGTATGTGTATGTGCTTGTGTACCACTCTTACTTTTTGAAGAAAATCCCCAACTTATTTATTTATCTTCCATTATTGTACTAAACTTTTTGAGTTCTAAATACAAAGAACCTGTATTTTCTACATGAAGACGTTATCACTCAACATTATCGACTGTGTTTGCCCTATGCAATTTTAAAATGTGTAATATCTGCAGAGCCAGAATTTCTATCTATATTCAACTGAAACACTAAATCACCTTTAGGACTTCCTTTTTCTACAAACATGAAATCCTACAAAATTTTCTACACACACATTGTGACTTTAAGAATAAACAGCTTAACATGTTACATTTATGCTTTTATTACATTTCAGGAACTCCAGTCTTATTTGTGACACCATGGACAGTCGTCAAGATTGTATATGAAAACACAGAGTGAGTATATCATCACGCACATTTCAATAAATGTATGAATTAATTCAAATGTTCTGATCATTGCTTGACTATGGAAACTTCTTTTATTCTCAAGATGCTGGTCAATCGTGAACCGATGGTTCTGGTGGATAATAAGGGGCCCGATTACTTTGTCAGTGCTCGTAAGTGAAGTTGAGCCAATCCTTGAAGGCCTTTACAAGAAGTTACAGCTCATTTGTTACAAATACATTATGTTACTCCCATTATGTTGCTCTCATGAGTTTGTTCTCCTCATGGTACCAGACCTCTCGTGAATGTTACTTTGGTTTCACACTCTGTTAACGGCTCCTGTCTTGTGACGGCATGTGATATTGAATGGTGAAGCAGTCACAAGCATAACTGAATAGTAATTTCTCGGTACACAAAGACACTGATCATTCTCAGATGAGGGTTTTTATGATAATTTAAACTCATCCGACTTTTGGATACATTTCCTTTAATAATCCATTGATGTTTGTTGCAGGTGATATTCTTCATATTCATCAAGATCCTGATGCTGCTGCTGTCCAAGCTGAAAGCAGATCAGGTGAAATTTACAGACTACAGATACAGGTATTTCCCATTCCCTTGATTCACTCGTGTAACTTTGTCCAAATGTCAGGAAACAAGTGCTGAGAGCTATTCCCTCGATGGTGTATTTTAATGGTACAGTAAGTTTCAGTTTTAACATTTATATGTTAATAACTCTAACGTACAGCAGAATTAAAATGTCAACCCAAAAAGTATCGGGGCCTCTTCACCATAAATGTCACCACCGGAGGGAAGGTCATGCATACATTTACAAAACCCTGCGCTTTTCTCGTTTGTCATTTTCTCTGCAAATACTGTGCAAGAGTTACAACCTTTCCTGACTTCTTGTCTTCTCCATTAAGCAACTGTAATCATGGCATGTTTTTGTTTATGCCCCTCAGCTTGGCAAGAGCAACACTGGTCCTGATCCCTCTGCTGGGAATCCATGAAGTGGTCTTTACAGTGCTGATAGATGAATGTGTGGAGGGCAACAGTCGCTACGCCAGGAACTTCCTGAACCTCACCCTCAGCTCTTTCCAGGTTACAGCAGTAAAGTTAATGACATACCTGAGAAGAGTTAGTTTTTGGTCTAGACTCACATAAACCTCTCATTTGTAATGTCTGACCTTTCTTTAGGGTTTCTTGGTTGCCGTGCTGTACTGTTTTGCTAACGGAGAGGTATGTGTCCTCCTTTGCATGCTCTGAGATTTTTAATGGATGAACCTTGTTGTGTCAGAATTGTGTATATGAAGCTCAGGAACAAGCTGAAGAAGTCAAGTCTTTTTAACACTAATCAATATGTTAATGCTAACAATGGATCACAGGGACCATGTGTAAAAGCCTCATAGTCACAAACCCATGGACAATTACCAGCCATTACTGATGATAGCCTTAGCTCTAAACAGGCCCTCTTGTTATGGTTTCAGTTCATAAACTCCACTCACATTAACCTTGTTCCCAGCAGCAGCAGCAAGATGTTGTTTTATGTTCACACAATCTTCTTAAACTGCTTGTCCTGCACTAAATGGCAGACAGACAGAGATATTGGGCTTATATTCCATAGATTGCTTGAAACCCTTCAAATTCATTGTGATGTTGCTTAAAAAAAGTGTGAAGAGATAATTGTTTGCTAATGTGATCAGCATAATACATTTTTAAGGTATGCTACAAAATGCTTCTTCCTTTGCCACAGTGTGACCAAAAGAAAATCAACCAATCAATCGTGTTTTACACAAAAAAATGTGGAAAAACATATGTAAAATTAAGAAACATGTTGTCCAGGCGACCATAGTGTGTTTCCCGACCTGTGAATAGCAGCACACATCTCCAATTTGTACAGCAACTTAAAGGTTCAGCGTGTAGAATTTATTGACATCTAGAGGTGAAGTTGTGATGTTGCAGCTGAACACCCCTCACCTCACCCCTCAGTTTGGACTTCTGTAAAAACCATTAAGGCCTCCATAGAGAGGACCCGCTCCTGATGTAAATATAAAGTTTTTAAATATAAAGGCTCATTTGAGGGTAAAGAAAACACCAAATAGTACAATTTAGATGAAAAACACTGGTGAACACTAGGATTATTTTATATTCAATTTCTGCCAATAGATCCCTTTCACCTAAATTCTTAACACTCATTCTGGCGTGGCGCTCACTGGTGGCCACTTGAAGAAACAATCCCCAAACCAGAGCTTTGCAAAATAAGATTGGTGACATCATTTCTCCTGATGGCCAGCTTGCTCCCTATGAAATTGGAATTTCATACAATTGTCAGTAAAGCTGTAACTCTTATTTGTATTTAGGTCCAAGCTGAGCTTAAGAAGCGCTGGCAGCTTTTCCTGTTCACCAACCACTTCCAGGTCAGGGGCTGTTTTAGGGGCGCGCCCCTAAAGCACCTGTGGAAGTGCACCCGAGGGCACCGCCCCCCGTGTGCTCGGCAGAATGACTCTTGCAACGAGAGTGGCACTTACACAACTCATCCACACCTGCATCAGGTGGCTGTACATGGAGGAAGTGGAGTGCTTGGATTAGGAGAGGTTAAAGGTCAGGGGCTAAAAGACTGTGACATGACAGGGCTTGACCTTCTCACCAGGAAGAGCCTGTCCAGTAGCGATGGGGAGATGACGCATGGAGAGACCATGGAGGAAATTCTGGAAGAGAGCGAGTTCTGATTCCTGTTATCCACCTGGTACTTCAATTACCTGGATCGTTGCTTACTTGCAAACATAACTCAGTGATGTCGGGCGTACCTAAGGCGATGTCGAGGGTCGACCAATCATATTAGATTTTTTAAAAATTGGGTAAATCAATACCTATTGGCTGTAAATAATAGTGAGAGTGTCTGGGGCGCAGAGAACTGCCCCATGGCTGCCAAAGGACCCACATTCACATATATTTTGGCATCACCCCACACCCGGAAGTATTATGTATGTAGACAAAGGTTAACCAAAGTAACTTATATTCAATGCTCACAGGGGCTTACAGGTGACCAGGAGCATTGTGACTAACATATAATTATATAATTAAATTATGTTTAACATTTTTACACAGGATACCTAAGTGCAGATTTACGCTGCCATTTCAAGTAACTGACTGAATTACATTTGGACTGAAACAATTTTTGGTTGAAATGCTGATGTGGCCAATCCTCAGGGCCTCTGGGTCTCTGCAAATGCAGAATCAGGCATGTGTAGTCCACCGTGACTACTGGTCACATAAATGTGAACAATCCCATTGCTTCTTCAGTGTGATGTATTTCTTGTTTGTTGATTAGATGGGACAGTTAAAAAATATTTTGATTGCTTTATTAATTGGATTTAGTTTGACCTATTAGATGATCTCTGTTAATAGACCATTTTCCTCCAGCTATACTCGACCATCTCATGTGTAGATACACACTGCACAGTGGGACTGGAGGTGGAAGAGGAGAGGATGCCTCTGGCGTGGGGGTCAACAGGGGCCCAAAAACAACATTTTGCCCTGGGGCCCCCTTTCAGGTTAATCTGGCCATCCATTCTTCCCCATGAGATGACTGAAACATCACATCATTTAGTGAGGAATGTTGGGAATTCTAATCATTCCATGGGAATTTGAGGGAGTGCAAGATAATTCGGCAACTGAATCCCTTTATGAAATACATTCAATCAGAAACCAGACTGATAATTCGGACAAATAGAAAGTTAAGACATTTACTACCATAAATAATGCAATCATATATTTTTGCCACGATCCAGGCCAATCATCTACACAAGCTTAAAACTAGTATCTACAGTTACACCATAACATACAATAATTCTCATTTCAGGTAAATCATGTTCACTTTTCATATCTGTATGTGCACAGTGAATCTCCTACAATACCAATGCTATTGCAGTGTTCAGTATTTTTCATAGATTTGTGCTTTATTTATACTATGAAAATGAACATCATCTGATGTCAGGCCAGTTATACTGTAAGTATCCATATGACGCAACATCTGTATTGAAATGTGCGTATAAATACAATGTATTTGTTGTCTAAATGTAAATAATGAGGCTCTACGTGCAGCAAGTTTTAAAGTTTTACATGTTTTTACGAAGCTTTAAATGTATCAAAGAGATTATTGTAATATCACATGATTTGCACATGTAGTCTCATAGCAATGGATGTGCACAAATAAAACTATGGTTCAACTATTAGGATCATCTCCTTATTCTGCTTCTCCATCGATGGCAAGTGTTGAATTTGGTGCAATTTGAACACAGGATATGTTGAATATGAATAAACTATGAATAGAGACAAGACCAGCGTCGTGTAGCAGCTTCAGGTTTCTTTCATAGAGTCCTGCTGGTCTTAACTTTCTACAGCTCAATTACTGCCAGTCACTTTCAGAGTTTCATAAAGAAAGGTCCAACCAGCTTTACGCAAACAGCCCATTCCAAACAGGTGCAGGTAAAACACTGCATGAATAGCAAAAGTAACAAGAGCCCAGCTTGGCTCTCTTAATTCTATTTTGGGGATCAAGTGAATTATCTGTACCCATGCACCTCTATGGTGGGGAACAATCATCTCTTTAAGAGGCAGGGACAATAGTGTGTAGGAGGCATGTCTTCCTTGTGCAGGATTTGGAAGAAGGGTACAGGGTCTAACCACCAAAAACATATTGTTAATTTGTCTGCAGAATTTCTTTAGAGCCAGCTCTTAATTGCATTGCTCTTAGCACAAAATCCAATTTCCACCATGTTTTATATGGTGACGCTCCAGTGCTTTAACAGCAGCAACGGCCCACAGCTCTCTGACCTCTACACCCCAGTAGCTCCGGATTGCTCCTCGCAGCCATTTGTTCCCATGTATTCAATCACGACGACTGATTGTGCCCCATGACCATCGACCACCATGTTTGCTATAAATTCTGACGTATCTTCAGCGCGCCGGGAGCGAACCCTTTCCTAAGCACACGATACAGTTTATTTATCATGGTTTGTTACACGATAAAGTAGTGGCGGAATTACATCATTAAAATGGCCTCCCGTTTATTCAAGTAGAGATGTGTGTGAGCTGAGAAGAGAAAAAGGCAGAGAAGACCGGTGTTATGATGTAGAGAGGGTGCTCTGACTTTATAACCTTTTGGAGAGCAGCCATTTTTACCACCACCTGCTGTTTGTTGGTTGGTTGGTCAGTTTATTTGATGTAAGAAAGCATTTTCTTGATGAAAACATATCTGGCATATTTTAGGACTGATTTTGTGGGTGCAATTTTGTGCAGCTTGTTTGAATTAAGGGGTTTATTAGGCCTCGGTGGAGGTAGGCGCTCTACTGAATGCCAAAAACCGGAGCTCACATTGTTAAAGGAAATGATAAGAAAATTCCTGGATCCAGACCCAGACCAATATTGCAAGGATTTTTCCTTAACCCACACCAACTTTAGAGGTAATTCAGTCCAGCAGTTTTTGTATAATTTTACTCACAAACAAACTAACCAACAAACAAAACTGACAGGGGTGAAAACATAACCTCTTTGGCAAATGTAATGAATACTTCATAACATGGATATCAGGCTTGATTTCAGATGTGGCGAGAGTACATAAATTCCTGATGTTGAGTTATATACAGATTACAGTTTTACAAACAAAACATGTGGTGATATTGTACAACATGTTGCTTTATTCTAGAGTCAACTACAAAAAAGCCAAATAAAAACTTGAGCTCCACCTAAACCAACAAAACATTAAAATGCTTCCTACACATTCATGCATGGCTGGTGATAATTCAAGACAATGTTGAGGCAGGCCGGTGCCCTATCTAGCAATGTCAAAGAAAGTGAACAAAACAATTCTGTCTCTGCTCGTTTGTTTGATTCTGCTCTAATGGGTTCTTTCTTGGCCCATTCCCCAACCTTCTACAAAGTTATAAATAAAATCAGCTCAGTGGTATTTGCATAATCATAAAACAGTCACACAAACTAACAAAGAGTGATGAATATATAACGTCATTGGCAGAGGGAATGATCTAAAGCCTCTACTGTTAAACAGTGGTTCATCTGGTGATACTATTCCATCCTCGCATGAACCTTCAATACCACCACACTATTGTTAGACTATGTAAAATGCTCTATGTACACACTGTATAAAGATGGCGACCACTGCGGGTACATTTCTCCTGAAAGTAAATACACAATCCTGCAAAATAACCACGAAAAAAATCAAGTCACAAATTAAAATGTAATAGAATCGCTGCGACAAAGGATTTAGGAAAATCCCTGTCTATGCAGTCAAAAAAAGCATGTAAACAGTCTGAGTGAGAGTAACGAGTCCTGTTTATGAAGCTCGAAAAAAAACTAACATTACACTGACCTATGTAAACACACTGACTGACTGTGTATTGATCAATAGATCAATCTGTCCCTTCTGTCCTGCAGTTGTCAGATATCACTATTATAATGTTGGTAGATAACAGTTGTTAGTTGATATTGTTTGTCTCTGTAATAACATTTGTTCGCTGCTGATGACACAGCGAGTGGTGTCCCAGTTCCTAGCCCTCTCCCTTGAGGCTTCCTCTGTAGAGGGACACTTCCAGAAGGGCCCTTCATACATATATAGGGGTAGAGCCCCCCCCCCCACCTGTGTAAATTGTGGCCCTTTATATCCCCTGATGTGGAAAAATCCTGAATTTGCCCCTGAAATCTGGTGTTCAGGCTTTTTTTCTGAATGAAATGACAGCTGCATGTGCATCCAGGATTTTGCACTGCTGGTGTGAATAAATAACAGACATGTTTACATTATTAATGCAAAGATAATGTTCCTAATATCTGCTGTATTCTACACGACAAACAATAGGTCGTTTTAGATGAAGCCATCTAGAAACGCTGTGAATCTACCGTGTCAGATCACTGAGCCTGAGGTGGACATGTGGAACATGTGAGTTGTATTTACGCCCTGATCTGAGCCAATCACGCGCTGATGCGAGTCACGGGGGTTGGATTGTCTTTATTTGCTCAGCTCCTTCCTCCTCCTCCTCCTCCTCTTCCTCGCTCCTGCAGACCATGGCCGGACCCGCCACCAGCGACAGCTCCGCGGAGCGTGTGGGCTACATCACCCGCATCCAGAGCTTCAGCGCCTGTCACCGCCTCCACAGGTAACCGGCCACGCTCCGCTCCTCGCCCCGGGCTCAGACCGAGAGAGCAGCAGCCTCTCATTGACTGAAATCCTGACTCTGCTCTGAGCCGAATGGAAGCAGCAGCCGCCGCCTCGTAGCGAGGTTTTGCATTTGAATAAATGCTTCAGTAGTTTTTATATGCGAGGGAAAAGTAAATCAAATATGCAGAATATTCAACAGGGTTCCGCGCTGCGAGCGGAGAGCCAGTATTTAGAGATTTACCCGGGGTCATGGTTGTCGTGTTGCTGCTGGATCTGCAGCTTCATCACCCGCTCGAATGTGTTTAAAACATAGACTGTATGTAAAGAGTTATATAAAGGTTTCAAAACACTTCTTTACGTAAATGTTCTTATTCACAGACGCATGTTTACGTTAATATTCTTGTTTACCAACACAGCTGCTTCCTCTGCCTGTTGCTGCGATACGTCAACGCGTCCGCCATATTGGACTGGACAGTGTAAACACACACGAGTAAACTGGAGCTGGTTAGTCCGGATTAACTAATGGTCTATTACTACTAGTTAGGTTTTTACACTGGAAGAAGTCAGACTGACACAGAATCACTGGCTGAGAGGAGCGTGCATCAGCTTTAACATCAACTGTGTTCATTCAATACACCAATCAAGGTTTCACTAAATGAAATCTTATTTGAATTCAGTTAAATCGAGGTTTAACAGAATCAAACCTGGTCTTTCATTTATATAAATCCAGGTTTAACAAAATAGAGCCTGGGTTTAAATCTATTGAAATTCTGGTTTAAAGGTCCAGTGTGTAAGATTTAGGTGAAAGTGAACTATTGGCAGATATTTAATGTAGAATAATCCTCATGATGTTTTCACTGGTTTGTTTCATCTAAATTGTATGAATTGTAGTTTTCTTTACCCCAGAAAAAGAGCTTTATATTCAATTACTTTATATTTACATAGAGCGGGTCCTCTCTACGGAGGCCACCATGTTTTTTACATTAGTCCAGACTGAACAAACTAAACACCTTTTGAGTTCTGATGACAACTGAAGCTACCACAGGTTCTTTTTCATGTTTGGAAGGAGAGGGTGAGGTGAGGGGTGTTCAGCTGCAACATGCAACTTCAACACTAGATATCAATAAATTCTACACACTGTACCTTTAACTAAAATACCTTGGTTTTAATTTAGTTTAGTGAAATTCAGGTTTAACTACTGCTGGATTTGGCAAATTTTTCTTGGTCGATACTTGTGGAGACATCGCTGTATATTATTAGTCGCAATGTGCAGAATGTTTGGTTTTAGTTTTTTGTTCTTTGGGTCAGAACACATTTAATCTAATGTAATTTACTAGAAAAAATGGAGCAACCGTAATTGACCGTCATTGAGGAAAAAAACCTGCAAAGTCACATGAGACAGTGTCAGTCAGCAGCTCAGTGTTAGTCTGTTCTCTTGTTTAGTGTTAAATGTACCTACATCACTAATGTTTTATTGTATTATTTCCATTTTTAGTACTATTACTATTACACTTCATACTATTTGTTATTCTTATTTAATCACATTGATTTATTTTAGACTTTGCTAAAACTACACATAATTGTAATTGGCTATTATATAATAATAATAAAAACAATGATAATAATAATGTTTGACTGCTGTACTATACTGTATATTGTTCTACTACTACTACTCCATCTTACTTTATAGTATTTTACTACTCTGTTTAATACTTTTTCTACTGTATTTTTTTACCATGTTTTACCATATTTAAATATAAATATGATTTACTGCTGTAACACCTGAATTTCCATCTGAGGCTCACTCAACCTATATCTTCTTTAATGATAGTCTCTGTAATTGTCTGTCTTGGAGTATGTCTGTATCATTTCACTGCTGTAAAATATAAAAAGCAGATTCTTCTTCCGCCTGTAGCTGTGATTATAATCCAACTATCAATTTTGAGTAACTGGAGACAGCTTTTTTTCTTGGTGAAGTATAGAATTTAAAAAAAATAAGGAATCGACTAGAAAAATCCCAGAAAATCCCCCATGATAAACCAAAACACAAATAAAGACACCCACATTTCCTCTGTATCTGTTTCAGCATCCACCTGAGCGATGAAGAGAATAGAAAAGTCTATGGAAAGTGCAACAACCCTCATGGTCATGGACACAACTACAAAGGTTAGATTCATTCACCCCTTGTTGTTTCATACATTGTAGTGTGAAATACTGTACGCCTGCTATTTCTGTCTCCCAGTCACTCAGTGCTCTCATTTCTGTCCACAGTGGAGGTTACGGTGCGGGGAAAGGTGAGTGTCTTATCAGGTTCTCCAGGTCATAGCCATATACATGTATGTCATTGATAAGGAGTCAATGTTTTCAGCCCCCCCCCCACTGACTCTCAGTTTTATTGACATGAAATGCAATTTACACAGTTTTTTTTAGATGCTGCTAATATTTTAACTTGAGACCCTTTTCCTACTGGCAGTGCATAAAGGGTCAATCATCTTATTTTAGCGGGGGGGAAAAAACAACCTGTGTATACCTTCTAAATTTCTAAAATACAATAATAATAATTTCAGGATTCAGTAGAATTTTGTTGTTTCCCCGCCACAGTTTTATTTCCAGCAAAAACCAGAAAAAACATTTTTGGACCATACATCTGGAAAACATTTACACACACACAGATAATTAACCTTCGTCCCGTGTCCGTCCACAGATTGACCGTGTCACCGGCATGGTCATGAACCTGACTGACTTGAAGAGATGCATTGAGGTAAGATCGTCTCAACAACACTTTGTTGTTTCACCAACAAGTACAACTTTCAGTTGTTGAAATGATGTAATGAATTGTTCAAATATGCATTTTTCCAGGTATCTTTTCATCCTATAGTGAATTTAGCAGCAGGTAGATTAGAGACGTGATGCAAAGCTTATTTAGATTTCTCATAGTATTGTGTAAATAACGTCATTATGAAACGGCATTGTTAGAATGTAAAGAAGGTGGCACAACATTTATATTACTCTCACATGGAATTAAAGTAATCTGCGACATGGCTGAACACTGATATGATTAGAAGCTGTATTTTGAGTTCTCACTCTCCAGGCTGCTCTCATACACCACCTAGTTCTTTTCCTGCACTTCTTTCAGTGTTCGTTTTTTTGTTTCATGTAAACTCCAAGTTAACTTTGTCACGTGCTGCCTTTGATGGTTTATCACAAGCATCACTGTAAAACGTTAAACGGAGATGCTGACTGACCGATCGTGTCCCGCAGGACGTCATCATGACTCCGCTGGACCATAAAAACCTGGATAAGGACGTTCCTTACTTTGCCAACGTTGTCAGGTGAATACACTCCTCTAACAGCAGTGTCCTACACGTTACACGTGTGTACTTGTTTTTTCATTAGTTTTTTGTAATGTCTCCATCAGCACCACTGAGAACCTGGCTGTTTACATTTGGGACAACATGGTGAAGGCTCTGCTGCCCAACCTCCTCTACGAGATCAAGATCCACGAGACAGATAAAAACATTGTCATATATCGAGGAGAATAGACGTCATGTGATGAGTGCGTACAAGTGCCATTAATGACTGCTTGGTGAACAGATTCCGGTTAGTGAGGCAGATTCTTGCACTTTACACACACTGTAGCAAAACCAAATGTCAAGTGTTCTTGTTGAATTTGTATTCTTGTTAAGGTTTTAAAACTCTCAACCTTTGTGGCTCATGACCCCGTACAACACCCTGTACAGTACAACAGCGTTTAGTTGCCTCTCCAAAACACGAAGTGCATTTGTCTACTGGTTGTAACCAAAGATCATTTCATTGTTTGTTTCTTAATGTATTTGAACCCTTTTCAAAAGCACCAAAGAAGTACATTTGCTCTCTGTCTCCCAATCCTGTTAATCATTTGAAACAACTCATATTAATATAGTGAGCAGCTTTATGGAGAGCCTTGATTCAACCCTTTACTCCACTGAATGTCAAACTATCAATAATTCATACATACTCTATATGAGCAAGTTATTAAAACTGACATGCAATTTAGCAGCACAGTGATGCATTTCCATTATGAATACCCTTTTTTTACAGTCATTTCACAAGTGGAGTATTTCAGCTGTTAATGTAAAAATTAACAGGACATGGTTTCGATGTACAAATGGTTCTCTAATTTCAAACCACCCATTAACAAACTCATTTCTCAACGAGACGGCTGCTCAATACGTCTACCAAGGCTAATGTCTAATCTCATCATGTGAAACAAAGTGGAAAAGGAAAATTGGATCCACCCGTTTATGTGGATCTGCTCCAAAATATAATTCCTTGGGTTATGGGGCACCCCGCCACAAAATGTCATGGAATTTGCTGACTAATAATAATGAAGTCACACTGACATTTAACCCAATACTGATATCTAGTGGTACAAAACTGTACATGACTCAGGTTATTGCATTGAGCCTGGCTGTGAAGCAGTGATGACCCGTGCTGAAAAGGTTTCTTCTAATAAAATCATATGATCATGTTTTCATTGTGAGTGAATTAATTACATGTTCTACAATTCAAGCAGTCGATGAGTGAGGTCATTAAAGGGCTCTTCAGTGGTTTCAGTATTGCACAGTGCTTAATCTAAGAAAACTCCATTCTTAAAAAAGCAATTATAAATGCCTTTATTGTATGGTAGTCTTACTCCCTGATGAAGTTTTAATGCAGAACCTCTTCAGTCTTTTAAATGAGGTTTAATACAAGCATGGTATAATGCATTTGAATTAAATGTAATTATTTTAATAAGTTAATCATTCTGATTCTATTTGTGCTTTTAATCTAAGAAGTGCCCCTACACAACCAGTTTGTCAGTGTGTATATTTATTTATTTTTATTTTTCAGGCAGGAAAAAAGATTACACTTTGGCTCCAGAACAGCTGCTCAATGGACCTGAAGTATTACAGCTGTTTAGCCACAAGAGGGCGACCTATTACTATTAGATAAACACTGCATTTGCGTTAGGGATCCAGGCAGTAACACAAAATATTGTGTCTACAAATTTGCATTTTGAGTCAAGTTAATAAGGTCAGATATGTATTGACTCTCATGTATCAATACAGACTGAACATATAGTGATATACACTTAATAAATAAACATCTTCTAAAGATGTGTTGGTCTTTTTCCATTTGTCCCAGCTGTTTCCACACATCCATATTTCACTCTGCAGAAACGTCCACAAAATTAATGGAGGAAACTCTCCCTGCTATGTGGAGCTGTAGCAGAGCAGTCAGTAGCAGCCGGCTCATACTCTGTCTTCCAGACATAGGATAACACATGTAATCTGATTCATTACCTGAGGCTCACTTTTAGTGGACGTGCAACCCCAGTGCTGTCTCTGTGGGGTTTGAAAAACCCTAGTGACAAATCACAATGTAAACACAACTTATTGTGGAGCGTGGGATGCATTGCAAACGGTGTTATTACTGATTCATGGACACAAGTCATTTCTCAGCCTTACAATAATATGAAATTCTCACCTTTTCAATCATGCATATTGTGACTCCACTAAATTATCTCGTTGGTTCAGGTCTATAAAGCAATAGTTTGACGTTTTGACACACAGTGACCCCATGACCTTCTACAACTATATTGTGGGGTGGCTGGGCTATGGGGGAGAGTGACTGTCCTCTAACCAGAAGGTTTGATCCCTGTCTTCCCCATTCCACATGCCTTAATGTCCTCTGAACCCCAAAATTGCCTCATCTCATAAAGAAAGTGCTGCACATGGATGCACTGTATGAATGTGTGAGCGAATGGCTAAATACCTTTGTGAATTCAGACGTGTGAACTGTCACTGCGTGGATGCACGTACACGACTAAAAACAGGGTGGGGAAGTGGGCTCTCTTTTTCTGTGCCACAGTTATAATCTTTATGTCAAGATTCTGCGTCAACTCACACCTTTAATTAATCAAATTCCATAAACATGTGTCATGTGCAGGCAGACAACCTGCCTCAAGACAAGCCGCAGCAAGACTGGGGGGAGCGGAGATAACCTCCCTCCCTCCTAACTCCTGACTCCAGATCAGAATCAGCCTTCTCCTCCTCATTATCTCCTCGCGGGATTCCAGTAAAGGTTAGCTGGTCCCAGATCTGCAGCCAAGTCCAGCCAGGCACAAAGACTTCTTACAGCAGGGTAGATACTCAACAAATCAAGCTCTATAATTACCATCTGATAGAAGGCAGTGGGATTACTGCAATCAACAGGTAAAAGCTGATGATTATCCAGCTGCTTCGTGGAAAAGTATTTTTCACTGCACCTTCTGATCCTGAATTAAGTTCACTTTTATGTTCTGACAGGAGCAGCTCTGTGCTTTTGCACTTTCTGTGTGTATTTAGCCCATAGCAAGGAGGACGAGTCAGATTACATCTTCTAATTGTCTTGGCAGATGTAACCATAGATAAAACTGTATCTCGAACATGACAGGTACACCCTTACTGTATGTTTGCATGGGCTGAGATTTATTGCTTTACATATTCTGTTGGTAATGGGGATGGATTCACAGGAGATTTGTGCTGGGGCTTTGTGGACGACCCCCCCGACAGGAACATGGCTCCTCTCTACAGGAAAGATAAAGGTGTAGCCCAGCAGCTCCTCTCAGATCTGAAAATATCTCACTCAAACAACTGCTCTAAAAGAGTTTGAAAATGTTATCTTTATCGAAACCAGGTCTTTCGTCTTTGGTTTGCATAAAAAAAAGAAAAAAAAGGGAAACTGACTTTCTTATTTTACTGTTTTTTTAAGTACACCTGTTTTTTTCCCAGGACTGACACAACATGATATTTTAATAGAAGGTGAGAGTATGTAGTCAAAGATGACAGAGCACATCTGGAATGAAACTTCCTATAATCACAGATGTTCTGAGAGCAGCAGGATCATCTTCCTTCCTCACAAACAGTTTAAAACTGCAAGAAATTCCTGTCAGGACAGAATTCTAAATAATGTGACATTAAAAGGTTTCCATTAAAACCCATTGTAAAGAGAGAATTTCCAGTGTTTGCAGCTTCCAAAAGACACAGAGCAACATTGGCACAAATAGTGGAGTCATGTTTCGATGCAAGTCCTATAATTAATTTCCATTTAAGCTTTTTCTCCACCCACCAGCTTCTGGCTCAGTCACAGCCACAGTGCCGATCCTGGCCTTAGAAGAATAATTCTCCTAATGTACCCATCTCAGTCCTCTTCTGTGCCAAGGACAAGGGACTTCAACCTGACTGGTGGTTCCCTCACAGTTTTTTCTGTGAGTTAATAAACCCTTGTTCAGTGTCCACATGGATGAATGCAATTTAACTTATTAACCTCTATTAGTAAAAACAAAGTATCAGAAAATATAGTGGAATGAGTAATATGGGTAAAATAGATATATCTTTGATTTTAAAATGATAAATAAAAAATCCAAAATTAGAATAGCACTCAATTGAGTGCACAACTCCTGCAAAGCCCTTTGCAATCCCCTACAATTGAATCAATCTGCACCAGATAGCAGACACTCACAGATATCACTACCTGAAGAATATCCGTTTTTTTTCTTTAAGATCCATGAGTTATTCCCTGGAAGTCAGTGAAGAAAGAGATTCTCTACACCCTGAGAGGAGCAGCTGAGGTGTATATGCTGAAGACGGTTTTACTACAACATACCAACCTGCAAGTGAAGCATGAGCTTCTAGTTTCTTCCTCCCTCTTACTTGCTGGTGACGTGTACTGCTCGTTATCTCATCACCAGCACTATATCCACTATACTCACCAGGCAGTTGCTAACTTTGACCGTCTGCTTTTTGATGGTGCAGGTTTTACAGCTGCCTGTTTGTACATAATAGTTCCACCGACAATAGAGAAGCTTATTGATTAGAAATGTATTACATCTCTTGGTAATACATCAAATAGGATTATGTCAAATCTTCCAGGTATCTCTGCATCATATAAGAGTAGACACGGCCAAAAGCTAATATACATCAAAAAATTATGTATAAATCTTTTCACCAATAACATTCGAGACATAATCCACAACTCTTAAATTTAAATGTATTAATCATTTGTAAACATATGGTATCAATGAAATACATTTTTTTGTCCCATAAATTACTATTAACACAGATTTTCATGGTGTTCATCTTTCCCACAACAGTGAACAGAGCTGAAAGTGACATGAGCTGCAGAGGTGAGTTATTATGTTGATATGAAAATACTGATCAGTTCAGCTTCAAATAGATGGAGAATGTATTTACTCATCACATCTATTAATAGGAGAATTTTACAATCAGAGGAAAATGCTCAGAGGCGACTTGGTTTCATATGAAGTAACCAAACAAGAGTTATGTATAAGTCTAACTTGGAATATGAAAATGAAGATGACATTGGTGTGGCACTGCTCGCTAAGACACTGTTTGCTCAGGTACAGTAGAACAATTTGACTTTGACGTGCAGTACATTTTTAATAAGCACCAGGTCAAATTCTTGAACTCTTCACACATTCTGCTCCACTTGGCCAGATACCGACTGTCATCTTACAGTCTTATGAGCCTGTAAAAAGTTTCCACTCCCAGATAATTAAAAACTTCAACCACCAGTTCCCTTCACACCACCGAAGATGAATCAAGATCAATTATCCTCTTCTGTCATCTTCCCCTCTTTGGCAAAGTAAACATATGATTTTGTGCATGATTTCCTCCTGCCTGACACCACCTGATGCTGGTGAGGAGGTGAGTGACTCACCGACACATGCACTGTCAGCGCTCAGCAAATTAAGAGCAGCTCATTATTTGAGGAATCTGTGGGAACTGCTAATTCAACAAGAATAACTTGATTTCACCGTCTCAGCATGATTTGAATGGTTGTGCAACTTGGTCCCTCTGGTTGTTACGTTGGTTGTATTGTATATACGCTCACTAACAATGCAGATTCTCATGCACAATAAAGCCCTGTCCACACTAATGCAGATATTTTGCAAAACCAACTTTTTCCTCAGTGTTTGAGCCAGTCGTCTACACATCAACAGATTTTTTACGAATGCCTTCCAAAGTGCAGATTTTGTAAAACTCATGTAAAATGTTTGGGAAATGACGACGTCACAGTTGACGTCACACGTGCCCACTGCTGCTTTGTGTAATGAGCAAGCACCAGACACATTAACAACATATACCAGTTTCTCTAAGTTTAGTTTGCACTGCTACATTTTGCATCACTGCACCACATGTGAGAATAAGCTCACTGCACATGCTCACAATGTTCTTCTCTGGTTTTTGAGGGATCGTTAATGTAGACTTTATCGCCACCTACTGGCCGAGCATGCTAGTTTGGGCGTTTGTACCAGATTCCGTGTTCTCGTCCGGGCGGAGATATTTCATATTAAAGTCATGAGGGTGGAGAGAAATATCTGTTCAAACATATAACTGCAGTAGTGTATACAAGGCCTAAGTACTTCTATCCACACTGTAAAAAAAAATTGCAAAATGTGCAAAAACTCTTCTTGATTTATTTACTGT